AGTGTGAGTTCGTGAGTGTGATGTGACTTGAGTGTGCAGTGGAGTGTGAGTGTGGAGTGTGGAGCTGTGAGTGTGAGTGTGAGTGTCGAGGTGTCGAGTGCTGAGTGTGAGTGTGAGTAGTTGAGTGTGAGTGTGGGTGTGAGTGTGAGTGTGAGTGTTGACGTGTGTGTAGCCTGAAGTGTGGTGCCTGAGCGTGAGGGCAGTACGTGCAGCCGTGAGCTTGTGGAGCGTGCCAGCGTGAGCGTGAGCTGAGGCCGTTGAGTGTGTAGTGTGCAGTGCGCCTGTGCGTCTGTTGTGTGCATATATATAATTATCTTAAACATCTTTTAAGAACCACATACTGTTTCATAACTGCTAGTAAGCACGACTGCTACTCCCACTACGTACATCAACTCTAGTATATATATATATATATATATATATATACTATATATATATACTGATATAGTATATATTATGTGTGTTGTGTGTATATATATAGACGCTAAGTGACTTCGCATCATGTCAACGTTCTCGTTGGAAAATCTACGAGCAACAATAACGCCACGAAACTATTCACACGTTCAGACAGTACGTATGACAGACATCGCGCGCTGTCTACGCCAAGCGTCTATTTGCACTTACCGTAGTAATCGCACGGGTTGACAAGAGGCGGGTATGAAAATCCCATTGCTGAGAAGTAGCTCACCATTCCTCTAGCCGCACCATAGTACATCATCTTACCAGAAGAGAGCAGCACAACTGCAACAGAGACATCACTCACACACGTCACTGTTCTGGTTTTATTGCCGACTGTTCTGCGTTTGTATTTAAAGGCAGCAGAGCGTGTATATCATTGTCCCCGTAATTGCGCACCGAGCGACGAATTTCGCAGTTTGACTAAAAGGCGTACCTTTGTCTATCATCGAGAATATGTCCATGCTCGGGTGCTGTATAGACATGATGATCATTTTGTCTCTGGCCGCCAGTGTTCTGAGGTATTCCATCAGGAAGATTGCAGGATACGTTTCCAATGGCGTTGTCGGTTCATCCAGGAGTATGATGTCTAGCGGAAATCCGTAATAGGTCTATCAGTTAGATTGCAGACCTCACGCGAGCGATTTCGATTGCTATTATAATGTGGTCACTTCGTAATTCCTAAATATATAACTACTGAACTAGTAAGAAAATGAATCAGTTATATGATAATCACGCTTATCGTAAAATATATATAGGTTATATAATATATTATATTATATATATATGTATTTATATAATATTAAATGTATTATCCACCATAACACGGATGATGTTTCCTTTGCTGACCGATTGCCGTTTTTTATGCAGAATGGATGCGATATATTAAGTTGAATATAATAAGATCATCTTAAAAACAACCAAGATAAGAAGGGAAACCTGCAATATATATAAACAGTATATAATGATGTATATATATATATATTGTACTTTTTTCTTATTTTGGTTGTTTTTAATATTATCTTATTATATTCAACGTCGGCAGACAATTCTACGTAGAAAACGATAGTGAGTCAATAAAGGGAACTCGATTCGTTCGTGTTGCCGTATATCTTCTACCTGCACGCGAGATATTCAGTGCGACCATTAGACCGATAAAAACCACAGTGGGTGGGGGAGAGGTAGTGGGAAGTAGGACACCTTCATGAGAGCATAGATATATACAAACACATGTGTTCGTATATATCTATGGTGAGAGCTAACCTGTATCGTATATATCTATGGTGAGAGCTAACCTGTATCGTATATATCTATGGTGAGAGCTAACCTGTATCGTATATATCTATGGTGAGTGCTAACCTGTATCGTATATATCTATGGCGAGAGCTAACCTGTATCGAGAGCAACTTGGCAGACTAGGTTTAGTCGTTTCTTCTCGCCGGAAGCGAGGCTACCGACCTTTGTGTCGCGTACGTGCGCCAGGCGTATTTCGTCGATCAACTGCTCCACCTGAGAGAAGGTAGAGACAACGAGACCAGTCAGTCAGTGCGGCGGTAGCGCACATATGGGCGGGAGTGTGGGACCGTGATCTTTAAGAGAGCACCTATTCTTTCGTCTGTTTGCGGAAGTGATTGCCTCCGCGGGGGTGTTCGTTTACACATACAGAGAGAGAGACGCAGCACACTGTCGACATATGTTTACCTATTGTATATATGTATGGTTTCTGCGTGCGTGCACCGTTACTATTATGTGTGCCTCTATGATTAGACGTACGTTGTATGTTAGTCTGATTCACGCATGCTTCAACTGTTGGCTGTCAAACTGCGTATATACTTCAGACGCGCTTTGGAACATGCATGTCAGTGTTCATTGTGCGTGTTTTCACCGGCTAAAAGATGCGTCTATTTGCTTTAAATCTTATCATCATGAATATGTAGGCCGCGGAATCGTCCACTCAAAATACTCTGAATAATTGTCATTAGCAAAGAATTTCTGCAACTGTGCTCGGTAAATAATAAAAGTGTGATTTAATAACTGAAATGCATACTATGCCTGCTGGCGTTACGGGTACTTGCCTGCTCGGTAAATAATAAAAGTGTGATTAATAACTGAAATCCATACTATGTCTGCTGGCGTTGCGGGTACTTGCCTGCTCGGTAAATAATAAAGATGTGATTAATAACTGAAATGCATACTATGTCTGCTGGCGTTGCGTATATACTCACCATGGCTGACTTGCTTTTCCAGCCCATGTGTTCCGGCTTCTTAAACATGAGGAAGAACTTGAGGGTCTGCGCGACAGTGAGGTAGGGCACGAGGTGTGTCTCCTTACGTACGTGCGCCACCTTCTTATAGAGGTCGCTAGTTGTGCCAAGGTTGCCGTTAAGCACGACACTGCCAACTGTCTTGCCATTCCTCATTCGATTGCCTAGAATCTCTAGAAGGCACGTCTTGCCAGATCCTACGGAGTAGAGTATTTCAGTCAATGCTGAGTGGAATGACCAGAGAATTGCGCGAGTTTCTAAGCTTTGGGGTCGCCTTGGGGTTATGATGTACTGTCATTTTGCGGGAGAATGTGCCAAATCTGAGTAAGCTAGAGGCTTGTAAAATGTGCTGAAAAGATTTATACAAACGTTATTTCATATGTGGTTTATAATTGCTATTGGCAGCAACCCTTAGCTTAGTTCTGGAATGTATATATATATATATATATATATATATATATATATATATATAGAGAGAGAGAGAGAGAGAGAGAGAGAGAGAGAGAGAGAGAGAGAGAGAGAGAGAGAGAGAGAGAGAGAGAGAGAGAGAGAGAGAG